CCCTCACCCTAGCACGGGGACGTCAACACCAAGAATAACTTTAACTCCTTAATTGCTCGGTTGAGAGCTGTATGATAAGGAGCCTGGTGGGCAAGGTATTTCACTGCTAACTGCCAGATGGGTGGTTCAAATTTACCAGCCATACCACAGGAGAAATATGGGGCTACCTGTCGCTGTAAAGATTAAGGGGGGGAAAGCCTTGGAAACCCTTTGTCTGGTCTCAATGAATTGGAACTGATTCAAGTATACCGGGTTTGTCTTTTTGGGGGGTGGGTGGAGTGGGTAGGGAGTGTTATGGCTCAATACTATAGTATAAAGGTGAAAGTAAGTACAGGTATTATTGAAAGCAGGTAAAAACATAAATTGACCTTAACTTGAAATGAATTATAAATACCCATATGAAAATTAATAGCACCTTTTAATTACAATTGGAATACTTGGGGTTTGTCTCCTGCAACCTGCGGGCAGGGATGAGAATGTCTGAAGAGGCTAAAACAACTAGGTGCCCCTGTGATGCACGCCTCTGGCACCACCAGGCAGTGTTCTCTGTTTCTCTGTGCACCGCGTGCCAGGTGGCCGCTTTTCCATTTTGCTGCAGTGTTGTACATAATTGCTGCATATATATTAATTTGTCAAATTCATCTTCAGAAATGCATAAAACACTGAAATAAAAAGTATGCTTAACCATTTTGTTATCTGTGTCTTGGAAGAAGCAACAACCTTTAGAAATGAAGTGGTTTTCTTCAGAACAGACAAATTCACAAATGCAAATTCAGCCTTCATATGTTGGTTTAACTTAAGCATTTAATTGTTGTAAATGAGATTTTTCTTCACCTCTAAAGAAAACATCTGGTAAGGTGTTAGCGCTGGGGAATGTTTATAGCTTTCAGAAACCTCGAGCATGCTTGGTAAAAATACATATTCCTGTGTCCCATGAAATCAGAGTTTTATGATGCAAAATGGGTTGACATTGGACAGGTTGATAGTTGCTTCTATTTATTTCTAAGAGAAAAATCTAGGGCATGTTTCTATCATAGATCAAGGGTGGATACCACAAGGGAACACCATGGTGAAGTCATATTAAAATATGTGCTAGAATAGGAAAGTATTATTCAAATAATTTAAATGCCATTTTTAGTATTATGTATTTTACAATATCCTTCTTGTAATCCAACATCCAAATGGGCTATCTAACCAGCCCAATGTTAAAAAAATAGCATTAGTATTATAAGATTTGAGAGATTGAAGATCAGAAGGCAATAAAACTAGCAAATTGTGTTTATACATCATTTCACATGTTTTCATATCATGTCTTTAGTGGCTTTTGATATTACTCGTGTTCCTTACTCCTTGCTTCTAGAGCTCACAGACAGGAAGTTTAAGGAGGCTGACGGATACAAACATGACTCAACATTATATACCACCATCGGTCTATGAGGTGCACATCACAGGACTTTACGTATCACAGGCAGGTAAAAGAACCGGATTCTGTCTGGTGAGTCAGGACACAAGGAGGCTATATTTGGATCCTTAGAATCAGAGGTGGGAGAGGGGACAAATCTACTTTGGATTGCTGGATAATTTTGCATCAAAATATAACAGACAATATACTGAGGCAATCTTGGGTGATGAGGATCAATGAAAAGCCAGCCTCTCTGCCGTCTTCCCACAGGGAGTGTGCTCAGTAACAGAGCACCAACAGGGAGTGAGCCTACATGACCCAAGACAGCCAGGTCATGTTCCACTTGTTTCCATCACTCATGGTAACAGGTAGCACTCCCCATATCATGTCAACTATGGGCTGGAGATACAAATAAACTGTTCCTATGGTGTCGTGTAGCTAACATGTTTCAAAACATTACCACAGTGATTTCTCTACTGGCTGATGGTTATAGCCCAGCATGTGTGTGTGTGTGTGTGTTTGTGTGTGTGTGTGTGTGTTCGTGCATGCATGCAGGAAAATTAGTAACCAGACCCCTAAAATATAAAACACCTATTTGATAAGATATACATGCACATATATGTATAGTTAGGAGCTCTGGTGGTACCATGGGTTGGGCATTA